GGAAAATGTTTATGTTTTACTGAAATGAAATGAAATGATGCAGCCGCAGTGCTAGTTTTCGGCGCACCGTTTTTCTGGAGATTACTGAAATCTACTGCAAATGCTGCAGGTTTTCATTGCAGGCTTACCAGTTCAAACATCTAAGGCTTTTAGAGGGTAATGATTGAAAATCTGGAATTTGTGCTGATTTGCACATACACATACTTTATAAATCAGTAGCTGACTTGAATTGCTCTTAGCTCATAAAATGATTCAAATATTTAACTAAAAAACTGGACTATACAAACTACAGAAGTGTAATTACAGAAGGAGTTTGAGGCAGTCACCTCATACAAAATTTTGTTAATTCCAAAAGGTGTTGTACATCAAAATTTGAGTGTTTATTTCTGTAATACAAAATAGGGATAGCAGTTTGTAACTGTTGTTGCAGTAATTTGTAGTTTTTGCCTACTATTAGAGCTGATAAAGAAACTCTGGTTTTTAACAGGAAAATTTTGAAAGATCTTTCTTCGGAAGATACACGTGATAGAAAAGGAGATGAGGAGAGTCCTGGGGTCTCTACTGTTACATCTATGTCCGTTCCCACACCTATCTACCAGACGAGCACTGGACAGTACAGTACGTTATACAAAATACGTGCCTAACTGGACACATTTTTTATTCAACTTGCCTCAAAATACAGATTTTCTTTTTGTTATATATTTGACTAAGATGAAAAAAAGTTTGGCTATTTATCTAACAGTTAATGAAGTTAGTACTGTTATTACATGGAAGTAGACCGGTATCTAAAGACTCCAGATAAACTCAATGCTTCATTATGTTAATTTTTGCATATTAAGACAAGACATTCAAAGGACGTTGTTACGGAATACATAGCAGCCTTCTAGTGTTAGATTTAGTCCAAAACTTGAGATCGGTGAAGATACCATTATATATATCATAGGGCCACACCAAAAGGTGTTCCTGTGATATCAGGGAGGTAGCAAAAAAAAAAAGGATTTGTTCCTTTGATTTTATCACCTAGTATTCATTGTGCTTGTGAGCCAAAAAGCAGCCTGCTCCGGCACCTGGAGCACCTCCTCTCCATCCCTGTTCTCTGAGCTGGGTGTTCACACTGTTTCTCACTTCCCCCCGCCCCTCACTCCTTTGCCTGTTGGATTTTTGCCCTTTCTTAAGGACGTTTCCACCAGCTGTGGCCAGCGTGGGTCCATGTGGAGCTGGTGTCCGGCTCGGGGCAGTCCCAGACCTCTTCTCACAGAGGCCACCCCTGCGGCTCCCCCCACTACCAACACCTGGCCGCTTACACCCAATACGTTTAGTAAGAACCCAGCAGCAAGGTCTGATAGTTGAAAGTGACAGAAGAAAAAAGCCTTCCAAAACTGGCACTATTTTTCAGCAGTGGAAACAGCTGTACAGCCTCCAGATTTACCTTCATCTGTATGTTATAACATACAGCTACAAACACTGTTGTGCATGTTCCTTTTTCTTTAAGTTGCCATTGCTGCAAATGGATTGCAGCTGGCCAGCCCAGGTACAGATGGTGTGCAAGGTCTGCAGACACTAACGATGACAAATGCTGGCGGTACTCAGCCTGGGACAACGATACTGCAGTACGCGCAAACATCAGATGGTCAACAGATACTTGTACCCAGCAACCAGGTGGTAGTGCAGAGTGAGTACGCCTTCTGGCAATGGTTAGAAATCCCCATCACTAACGCAAGTGTAACTTTCTAACGCTACCACGTTTTGATGTCTTATGCTATTATCGCAACAGCTGCATCAGGAGACATGCAGACTTACCAGATCCGCACCACACCAACTACCACATCCCTTCCTCAGACTGTGGTGATGACATCTCCTGTCACTCTGACATCACAGACAAGTAAGACAGATGATCCGCAGTTGAAACGAGAAATAAGGCTGATGAAGAACAGGTATGTAAGTGCACGTGGGCTGCTTTGATTTGTTAGTTTAGTGTGCTGAAATGTATCTTCAAAGGACAAATTATGAGTCTTGCGAGCTAGCTTTACTGACTGCGCCATCAGTATGGTATGCCGCTGCATCCAGCGACTAAAAACATTGGAAATTCTGACCAAAACACGCTCCGTGTTCCGTCTCACACAGTTTGGCGGAAAGAAATTGTTTTTTCCCTGCAGATTGACTACCGTGTGTGTTACCAGATACTGCTGAATTTCATTCTCCGCACCTATCGTTGTGTACTTGTCGGTTTGTTTTGTTCACGATGGCAGTGCCGGCTCTCTCCTCTCATATTGGTCAGAATCGTAACAGTCATAAAATAGACACATCTCAAATCTAAAATAAACAATTACTTCTGCTTGTCTTCCAGAGAAGCTGCTCGAGAATGCCGTAGAAAGAAGAAAGAGTATGTTAAATGTCTGGAAAATCGAGTTGCGGTCCTGGAAAATCAGAACAAAACTCTAATTGAAGAGCTAAAAACTTTGAAAGATCTTTACTGTCATAAAAGCGTGTAAGAAAAGAAGGTAAAACTTTTGTGGACTGTTTAAATTTCAGAGGAGAATTTTTTTTTATACTGAATTTTTTAAACTAGATGAAAGGTCAAAAATGAAACTTTTCTACCTAGATTTCACAACTTAAAGACTATATAGATTTTATTTACAACATGTTGGTGACAAAGTACAAAAAGGAAACAAGAAAACCTCACCAAAATTCCTGCTAACCTGCTGGCAACTGGAAACTTATAAAGTCAAGATTGCATCTACAATAAAAGGACAGTCACGTTTTACGAGGCAGGTGATTAGCATTTCTTTGAAAATTTCTACAAATACCTCTTGTAACGGAGGCAATATTTGGTTGCAATTAAAATGCGGATGAAATGGAATCCTTGCCATAGTTGACATTATTAGTAACATTTATAACCAGTATATGTTTTGATTTCTTACTCTTTTTCAATCCTTACTTTTTCTTTCAGTTATTTGTATGTAAATATTTTTATTTTAACCTGTAAGTTGTTATTTACAGGTGCAGATGATAAAAAAAGCTAATACTTTGCTAGAGGTATAAATTATGTTTACTCTTTCTCAGCTGACAGCTTAAGAAGTTGGGGTTTTTTTTTCGACGTTTGCTGTGTTTATCAAATTTGGAAAGGATCTGCAGAAAGCAGTGAGAGGCCTAGTCCCGAAAATGTCTGAGGCACATGAAATCAGGTGTTGACTTTTCTTAAGAGAATTCAACACATCCAATTATTTTAAAGTACGGTGTGGTAGAACGAGTACTGGTGAACAGGCGTTTCTGAAGAATGATTTCACAATAGTTTGTTCTTAGTTGTTGGGCATGATAAAGATCTATAATTGAAAAATAAATTGTGTGCTGATTATATATCCAATTAAACATGCATTGCTTATTCTGTCTGGAGATTCTACTGTGCTTTGGAACATTTAAACCAAATAGATGAAGAACGATAAAATAAAAAATGGAAGATATATACCAAAGGGTTAATGAGGTTCTAATATATGGTTTATATGCTGAAAGTAGTGCAAAATTTCCAGACTAATTTTGTAAGGTAGGGGATATTTTGCAAAGTAATGGTATCTTTGTAAGAAAATATTCTATTGAAAACAGGTAGATGGTTGGTATATTTTGTAGCTAAATTGTGATCTTTACAAATTCTGAAATTGAGTTTATATACGTATTTTGACAGTTTATATATTTCATTTTAGTAAACAAATGAAATATTTTGTGAACCAGATTTTCAAGCATATATTTTTATGGATAGTACAAAGTCAAACGAGATCCTCTTTGGTGTAGGAGATATTTGAATTAATTTTGTATGTCTGTAGGCAACTTGCAAAAAAAAAAAAAAGGATCCTAAAGAGTATTGGGAACAAAAAAAAAAGAAAAAAAAAATCAGGGCTTTTTTATTCCCCACAGTTGATATTATCTGCACATTAGATCTGATTGCTATCAGAGATTCTAGTTTGTATGATTTTAATTTGTTTCAGGTTAAAATTAAATGTTTGACATGATCAGGACTCTTTTGGGTGTGGAATCTCCATTCTTGGAGATACTCAAAAGCCGTCTGGACGTGGTCCTGGGCGACCTGCTCTGGGTGACCCTGCTCGAGCAGGGGGTTGGACAAGGTGACCTCCAGAGGTCCCGTCCAACCTCAACCATTCTGTGGTTCTGTGATTCTGTGAAATAGAAAATGTGTATGCAGTGCTTATTGCATGAATAATAAATACACTATTTTCCATAGTTAGGACTGAATCCTGCTTCCAGTTATGTCAGCGGGAATTGCACTATGGACTATGCTATTAAAAAGGTGTTAGAGCTACGTGTGTGTTGTGCTAGCTCAGATCTGAATGAAGTTAAAAGATGTACTCACTCCCTAGATGTGTAATGCTTATCATATGGTCAGTCAGTATTTTTTATTTTACTCATTTTTTAATTAATGGACTTCTTAGCAAGCAGAGCTCTTTGCAAATGGTATGAGAAAGACTGCATTCCACAATCACATTGTTAGTAGGCTATAAAAATGCATTTTTTTCTAAAGTTTCTAAATATATGATCGTTACGGACATGATCCACGATACGTTTCCTTTAGGCCAAACTGGAGTATACGTTTGCGATCATGTCAAAAAGGAGTGCTTTTGTTGCACATCAAAAATAGCGAGCAAGGCTGAGAACATCATTACATTCGGCACCTGCTCCAAAAGAGGGGTTTGGTGCCTCCCAATTCTGTTAGTGGAATTTCAGGAGAAACGAACGCCTCGGAACGTGCTTAGCACCTCAGAGAATTGGACCTTGTCGCTCTGTCTCCCATCAGGTGTGCGTACGCTCTTTGGCGTATGTTTAAGAGGGTTTGACCTACAGTACTGAAACTAATTTGGTAACTCCTCTGTATGGTATTTTGATCCTCGCTGTGTGCTGTTGTTCCTTTACCTTCTTTTGTAATACGGAATAATAATAAAAAAAGCTATCAAGTGTTAAGACTGTAAAAAAATGGTGGCCAATTCTTTCTGTATTCAGCAAGTGAAACAAGTGTAGTGCTGCCAGACATAACATTAGTAAATTTTTATCCTCTTAAAATAGTGTTTCGGAAAGAGCAGCTTATTTTTCATCATGGAAATATTAAACAGTAACATGAGTTTGCTCTTTAAGTAATCACTTATCATGAAATACTTATTTTGGATTTACTTCAAAATCTAGATTGTAAGAGAGTAAAATCTATATCCTGAGAGTAAGAGAGATAGAACCTAATACTGTTCTGCTGGTTATTTCCAAACAAAAGTACATGCTTTATATGAATTGTAAATATTTGTCAAAACAATTAGATGGTTGCAAATTTTGACCTTGGTAAATAAAGTCGCCAAAATATAATTCTGATGGTCCTTATTTATTTTTAATTAACACAGTACTACAGCGGTGCTGAGCAAATGTGCATACATTGTGTGGTATCAGGTCTTTTACAGTGGCTGAGAATAAACATTTAGTCTATGAAACAGCACCCAGAGATCTTTTATCTGACGTGTCCTTTCAGCAGTCGGAGTACTAAGTTATTTGTGCATAAATTTTAGTCATCACTAAAAATAATAAGTGGATAATACCTTTTGTCTTTCTGCAGGTTTTTTTTCTTTTTTAGTTTTCAGAAAGCTGAGCCACTCTTAACTAAAGGCATTTTGTATGCACCCAGCAGAGGGAGCATCTCTGCCGTCTACAAAATCGCGGTAGTATTGCTAAGTAGTACTTAAGCTTCTGATAGCTGGAAAAGCACGGAAATAGGGTGGGAAAAGAGTATTTTCAGTTGGTAACGTTTCTATATTCGATTTCATTCTTAGGGTCAAGGTTGTTACCGTTTCCTCTACCGTTAGTATGGATACCAAAGGCAGAAAACAAAGAAGATAACACAATTGCAAACATGACCTCTAAAAATAAGTGTATGTCCTTTGGCTCTTAGATTTATTCTGAAAGGGGAGTTAGCGCTCTCTTCAAAGTTTTAACGGGCAGGCCAAGCCTCTGCGATGGTGACGCAGTGGTTTGTCCCTTTAGAAAGTCTACGCAAGTACTGTACGTATCGCAGTCAGAAAGATGGTAAGTGTACTGCTCACGGGATTCACAGCCTTGTTACTCAACAGAAGTTCAGATTTTATCCATCTTCTGTATTGGGATAAACGGACATAGATCCCGGGAAATTTTGGTCGGCCACAGCCAACTCCAAAACTAGCAATCCCTATGAGATAGTATTTGTCGGTACTAGGGTGATAGCACGCTAAAGGTCCACCGCTGTCTCCCTGTAAATAAACAATATGAAAAACCAGTAACATACGTTCCCTTCCAGGAGTCCATGTAGAATTAAAGCAGTAATGCATCCACTTCTTTCCCCCCCCCCCTAACTTTTTTGATCAGCTAAGTTAACTGGACAGTAATAATGACAGTAATGCACGGATAGTAGTACACAGACAAATTAAGATAGAATTTGGTGATGCTGGGTGATACTGCCTTGACTGGAATACCGTGCCTGCATTAGTTTGTGTCTTTAACTAAAGTTTTGTTGTTGTGTTTGTTTTTGCACCTTTTCATTCCAAGGCTTGTCTCCCTCAACTTTCTCACTCGTCAGTTAATAAGGAGAATATATTGTCCACACAACGTGTAAGTACCAAGAAACACAGCAATGAATACACAACCCTGAATCTTTGCCGTATCGCCTACTTAAAGGAAAACTGCTGAGGGAAGCAGGAAGCATATCTGACCAAGTACTTACAAATACGTTATGGCTTTTAATTATAAATGTCTCCATGTCACAACTGGTGCCCCAGCTTTTGCACACTAGTGCTTTTGACCCGAGAACTGTCTTTTCTGAGAAAGCGCTGCTGATTGCTCAGCATTTACATAAAAACTTCGCCGTGCCACTGAACCGTATCACTTTCCAATGCTGCTGCTCTCTTTCAAAAGCATAAAAACGGGCAAGACGCTTGTGTGCTTCACACACGCTACGGATGTACAACACTGATACGCGTGCGTGTAGCCATACGTATGTTTGTGTAATGGTATATCATTTAGTAACATCTCTGTGGCAAGCAGTGTATAAATACGTCTGCGGTCTTTCTCCTTTCACTTATTCTTGTCTTCTGCTGAGTATCACTCAATTCTTTGTGTATGTTTTTGAGATGTGTTTTTTCTTTGGAATCACCATCCCATCTCTTTCTATTTACGATGCTGCTTTTGCAGTTTGACACGTTTTCTCTTTAGTATTTTTGCCACTTAAATTAATTACGCTACAAATGCTGCTCATCATGATGCCCCTGAGACTCTGGCTTGGGGCTTTCCATAGTGGCAGGTCGGGCACGGTGTTCATTCTTACCTGACAGGTATCGGTGCCTCCTGATCGGGAGCCAGCACAAATCATGTTGTTGTTAACCAGACCTCCATACGCATCAGAACTGTTACAGATGCTAGAAGGAATGATTTCCACTTGTGCTTCTTTTAACACAGCCGAAGTTTTACCTTTAATGGAAGACGGCATATAGAAAGGTAAAATATTTATGCTGTTGTGTGCAGCAATTCTTACTGTGCTCTTTTTTTCCCTGTTCAGCTAGCTTAAGCATGTTTCAGTACATGTTTAGACATGTGCCTAATAGAGAGATTGTGCCTACTTCTAACAGATTTAAACTTAACTGGGTTAAGGATTTGCAGACTTTGATTTGATGTCGTTTTTGCAATTCTTATTCTGAAGAAACATTGATGATAACAATACTGCTTACTAGGCTTGCTCAGAATGCTCACCTCAAAATAAGAGGTGACTTACCAAGCAAGCTTATATGATCCCCACAAGATGCACGCCACCAGCTGCCGTCATATCAAGTTTGTGCTCATTGTGATGAAAGAGAGAATTTGAGGGAGTGCAGCCATTTGTATAGTCCATGGGGACCCCTAAGTTCACAATGCACAGCATCAGAACTGTTGTTTTTCAGTAAAAAAGCTCTTTCTAGCAGACAACATTGAGTAGCTGTACCATGAATCTGAAAGTCAGGCTAGTTTATTTTCCTTTTTTCATGTTATACTTGGAAGAAAGACTAGAAAATTTACACCTTTGGTTACATCTGTGTGGATCTAATCTCCTTTCAGTGGAAAAAATACTGAAAGCAGATACTCAATCGCGGAAGGATTTCATGACATTGTGTGATGAGACCATAACCTGAACAAATTCAGTTCTCTCTCGGTGAGCTTGAGGGTCTGGAACCCCATATTAGTTACGTAGCTTAGAACTTGATCAGCAACGCAAGCCAATTTTTACCTTTTTCTGCTGTTCGTCCCCAACCGCTAATAAAGCATTCTGTTTCATTGTCGGTGTATGGGTAACGGTGTGCAGGAGGTAAGCAGATAGGCTGAATATAGTCGCTGTAGCGTACTGCGGAATCAAGTTCAAATAATGCAATATCATTTTCAAATGTTTCGCTCTTGAATTCTGGGTGCACAGTGATGCTTCTAATATTTCTTTTTGCTGCGTGTTCGCCATGTTCCCAAAGGTTATGCACGCCCAAAAGAGCTCTCCAGGAATGTGGGTCCCTACGAGAGAATTGATGTATTTTTTACAATTACGTTAAAGTCAATGCGTTTCTTGATGGCATTGTTTTAACCGATTGTTTCACTGTTGGCTTATGTGCCTTTAGGAATATACATTGAAAATTCTGTAGTAAATATTTTCTGGAACGTATTTGGCTAATTTCATTTTGTCTGTTTTGAACACTCGGTTTGCCTAATGCTGGTTATGGCTGTTCTAAGGTGAATTCAGATTAATGATTTAAGCTGATACTCAGATTTTGCTTCCCACCCCACCTCAGCAGAGGCCTCCCGGGAGATATTCTTTTGAAAAAGATAAAAACACGGATTTATTTTGCAGAAAGGAAGTGGTCTTATACCCACAATGCTTGTAAAGACTGTGCTTGTACCTAGATTTGGGAAATCCATTAACTAGAAGTTACAAATAATGAGTATCAACTTAATATTAAATTTAGAAATAGTCATTCAGACCTCATTTCTAGTCAAGTATGTTGAAAAAAGCTTCACTGACAATAAGTGAGAATGGAATTTGGCCTGTGATGAGCAAAGGGCAGGCTGTAAAATTCAGATTAACCTCCAAAATTCTCCAGAGTGTAAGATAAAAATTAAATTGATTGTTTGCAATATAACGCCTCTCTAAATCAATGTTTGTAGAAGTGCCTTTAAAGAAGCAAGGAACTGATCTACCACGGTCCTGATAAATGGTAAAATTCCAAAGTTCAGCGATTTTTACAGTTCAGTTCCCCTCAGGTCATTTATGTCAACACAGTTGACATGAACTTGCATGAACTAGCGTGCAGATTTTGCAACTGTGTTAAAGACTACAGAAAAGACAACAGTGATCAGATAGCTGAAATGCAGCAGAATTGCTGCAAGTGCAATTAAAAGCCCTGTTCTAAGGCATGTTTTTACCATATTGTCCAAAAAAAAAAAAGTTAAGTGCCAAATTGTTCATTCTATTAAACAGGAAAAAATGGAAATAGTGTTAAAACTAATGAATTGTAACATTTCTAATCTAAATATTGCAACATTTGCTTTCTGCAGTGAGCTTTACTAGTTTAGAAAAATCTATTGATCAGAAAAATTAGAGCTCCGTGAAAAAAAAAAAAGCCCCCAACCTAACCAAAACGTCACCTGGATCAAAAACAAATGACCCTTTATTAAAAATAACAAAGGTTGTTCTGGGCCAAGCTAGAAGTGTGTATCCAAGACTTCCTGATGTTGACTTATAAAGACATAACTTTGCATCCTGTGCCGGGCCGGCGGCCGTCACCACACACGACCGTTACGGCAAAGGTGACAAGGGGACGGTGTTTGGTCCTTAGCACCACGACCAGTCCCTCCTACGGGCCGTATCGGTACACAGGAGCTGCACAGGTTGGGTCTGCACATCGGTTCTGCACTGTGAGAGCTCGGTCCGTGTGTGTCCCGTTGATTTGTTCAGAGACACCACAGGTGATGCTTTGCTGACCTACTGTGCCATCCTCATGCTTAATAGAAAGAGGTATTAGCAGGAATACGTACTTCCTTTGTGTAATGCAGTGGCCTGCTGTAAGTACTGAATTCTCATTAGCTAAAGCTCCGCCACAAACGTGTGCAAATTGTACACCAGCTTGGTGAATCTGGAGGCTGACTG